CGACAAACAACAGCCGTGCTCTCATTGCCTGGCGGCAGGAGTGACTTGTGTTGCCGTAAAGCGGCTGCGACTACCCAGGGGGCGACATGCAGCTCGGGTCCGCAACGCCGCTGCATTGCCTTCGCCGGCATCGTCACCTGGAAATGGACTTGTTCATCATACCAACGAGACAAATGAGGAGCTTCAAGAAAGAGTACGGAGGCTGGAGAGACTGGTCCAGTCTATCAGTGCATCGCGCACTTCATTGCCGCCAACGAAATCCACGATCCCAGATGTTGCCAAGACCCAGGAAGGGCCTGACGAGTTTTGGCAAAATCTAGTCCAAGAGGTATGGACTCTTCTGCGTTACTTCGATAATTTCGTGCTGTATCCCGTACTCCGAGCATCCTCTAGCTTTGATCCTCCCCTAGACTCCTCATGAATTCTTTGAATCTATATCTGATCGTAACAAAATTACCTGCTAACCGTCTCGTCAGGTGGAGCAGTTGCGAGATGTTGTATCCATAAATCCCGGAGAAGCCGACAACGAAATTGCTCAAGCCTCAGACCAAACACAATCTCGAGACCCCGACGGCGGACTCATATCTCTCGGGCTTACCTCGAGCTCTTCTGGGCCGGATAAAGAGCCACCTCTGTACCTAGACAAAGATGCTTCTGCCAAGTTATGCGAAGTTTATCTGCGCCAGGTAGACCCTGTAAGTACTGGTAAGAAAGAACATCAGAATCCAGTCATGAAGCTAATCGGCTCAAAGGTTATCAAAATCCTCCATCGGCCATCACTTATCGCATGGATGATGCATGGTAACGACTACTTAAGATACCCCACGAGACATCCATCTACGGATGCACTCGGCGCATCAGTTTGTTACTTGGCTATCAGCAGTATGGCAGAAACCAAGTGTGCAGAAAGGCTTGGCGTGGAGAAAGATAAACTCATGAGCAGGTGTCGTCGTGATTGCGAAGTCACTTTTGAGAAGTCGGGTCTTTTGACTACCAGGGATATCACTGTCCTTCAGGCTTTCGTTCTATACCTGGTGAGTTATCGAAGAAGCCTCCACTTTAATCTTCCATCAGAAGCATTGTGCCTAACCGACACGATAACAATAGGCCGCGCGCAGTGTGGGAGAGCGTTCCCGAGCAGTTTGGACTTTGATGGCCACGGCTGTGAGGATCGCCCAAGGACTTCGTTTGCATCAAAATCCCTCGAGCAATACGTCAATATCATTCTTCGAACAGCAAATGAGAAAACGCCTTTGGTTGACAATCTGCTTGATGGACTTTCAAAATGCACTCGCTCAAGCATCGAAGCCAATCGTTCAGTTGGAAGAAGTAACGCCATCTTTACCATTTGTCAGGCATATCAACGATGCCGACTTTGACCTAAATACCACTGGGAGTGTTTCCGATAGAGAAGGGATCACCGATATTACTTACGCCCTTGTCAAGTACCATGTGCTCATCTTCGGACGGCGGATGGGTGATGGAGGCAGCAATGCTCCATCGTCCTCCGTAGGTCTCCGACTCGACTGGGAAGTGGCGCAACAACATGTGCGAGACTTTGAACAGAATGTTTTGAAAATGTTGCATTTCTGTGACCCAGAGGCTTCTTCATATGCTTGGTTCGTCTGGCACGGTACACAGCTATTCGTGGCTGGCGCCCGCCTGTCGGCGCTTCGTCCACTGTACCGCGCCGACGCATCGAGGCTACCTGCACCACCTCGTGTCAAGGATAATACAGAGGTCTTGCAGCAGACCGTCAAGGCACTTGAGAAGATGGAGCTCATGCATACTGACCCCCGGGGCGAGAACTATCGCTGGATGATTTCGATTCAATGGCATATTCTAGCTGTTGCGATTGCAGAATGCCATGTGTGCCCCGACAAGACGCTGGTTGCTCATGCGTGGGCACTCATCGAATCGCTATACCAGAGATACGAGACTCTTATTACACGAAACAGCGGAGAGCCATTGAAGGGTCCCTTGGGCAAACTGATGCGTCGAACGCGAGAGAAACTCAATGGATCATCGGTGGCACTTCCTTCACAGACCACTGCAGAGCCAAGAGATTGTAATCGCAAATTAACAATACCTACACATCCACCAGTACAGACACCCAATACAGACGACAATCAAATGGAGCTGCCCCTACCAGCGTATCCTACACCAGAAGAAACCTCGTTACTTGGAGAGCAGGTCACATCAACTCCAATGACCGATTACACACCAGATAGCCCATGGGATCAATCTTGGAGGATGTGGGATGAGTTCATGACTGATATGTCATTCGACCAACTTGACGACAGTGCAAATTCATTCTTTTAGAGAAGCGATTCAAGATGGGCGGACTTGCGGTCTAATCGAGCCGATCTCGACTATCAACCAGCGCTGCTACTTTATTATAAATTGGTGTGAATTATAGTACCTTGAGAGTGTCAATAGTCGACACAAAAGCACGTGTATAGTTGCACACATGCATTATTATGTTACCTACGGCGAATAAAGCACATTGGGGGCTGACCTTCCGAAAATGGAAATCTACTCGCACCTCAGCTCATCCTCCTCTTGTCCACCCTTTGCCCCGCGCTGAACGCCCGCGCTGAATGGCCCCTCTCACAGCAACCCAACGAAGCGACGAACTCTCCACAAAATGTGACCACGCAGTCGGGAAAAGACCCTGACGTTTCTTTCAATCTAGCGAAACGATGCTGCACAAGCTCCGCTTGGTTTACGATCTCGGCGAACTGCTAGGCTTGGTCCCTGTCTGCCGCATATAGTCTATCTGGGTTGCCAAGTCTCGATCGAGTGCCGGCTCCCGCAGAGCTAAGCCGATTGCAGAATGCTGATCATGGTGGTTGGATGTGTAAAAGAACTATTATATAATGGGGCAGATATAATTGGAATGCGTCGAGGCGATGGGCCTGTTCTGGACTTTGTCGTGGACCAGCGCGCTCCCTTTACAGACATACATCGTGAAAACAACACAAGAAGCCTGTTCAACATGCTGTCCCGAGCATTGTCATTGCTGACAGGATGTCTGGCTTGTGTCACGCAAGCCTCAATAAACATCGAGGACCGCCAGGGAAATTGGACCATTGGCCAGACTGTATCGACGAGCAGCGGTCCAGTCGAGGGCCACGCTGCTGGCAATGGCACCGGCACATCGGAATACCTGGGTATCCCCTACGCGCAGCCTCCAGTGGGCGAATTGCGCTTTCAACCTCCCGTGGCCTTTAATGGAACTGAGACCGTCAATGGTACCGATTATGGATTCGTCTGTATGCAAGTTGACATGTTTGCCGGAATACCGCACTTGGAGGGCCGTGAGGATAGAATGGAAAAGCGAGAAGGAACTCTAACTCCCGATGCGCTTGCCATTATTGCGGGCTACTTTGCCGGGATTCCCGCCACCAGCGAGGACTGCTTGACCTTGAATGTGTGGACCAAGCCTCAAGTTGGCGAGGAAAAGAAGGCTGTGCTGGTATGTTGTCTTCCTGCCCAAATCTGTGTCATGGTACAATGTACAGATGCTGACTGCTTTAGGTCTGGATCCATGGCGGTGGCTACACGAGCGGAAGTTCTGCAGTATCATTCTACAACGGTAAGAATCTTGCTGCGGAACAGGACATAGTTGTTGTGTCCCTCAAGTAAGCAGCTGTTTCGACTAGACATATGCTCTGGCAGGACTGACTATTCACAAGCTATCGCTTGAACATTTTTGGATTTCCCGGTTCCGAGACATATCCAGCTTACAATCTTGGCCTCTTGGACCAGCGCCTGGCAATCGAATGGGTGCGCGACAACATTGCGCAGTTTGGCGGCGATCCCGAGCGCATCGCCATTGTCGGCCAGTCTGCAGGTGGTGGCTCAGTCGGGTACCACAGCTACGCTTTTTCCGACGATCCCATCGTGGCCGGTTACATCCTAGAGAGCGCCGTCAGTCTCAGCGCCTCGACCCCAGCGCGTGCGCTCACGTCTTGGAACAATGCTGTCACGGCAGCCGGCTGTGACACTTCTGCCGTACCAGATCAATGCATGCAACTCGATGTGTCTGCCAGCACCCTCCTCAATGTTTCTGGACAATACGGCTTTGGCCCTACTATTGACGACAAGGTTGTCTTTGCCAACTATACCGACAGGAAGCCCAACGCTGGAGCCATGTTGGTCGGACACAATGACTTTGAGCCGGGTTTGCAGAGACCGCTATCGCCCAAGCTTCCTGACGCCGTCTGGCAACAGGCCGAATTGTCATTCACATGCCCAGCTGCCGAGAGGGCTACGTACTACGCCTTGAACGGAAACCCAACATGGAGATATCGCTGGTTTGGAGATTGGTCCAACTTGAGGCTAGCCATTAACCCTACGAGCGGTGCTTGGCATGGCTCGGAGGTGAGTTCCATGTCCCGGCTTGACTGACATAACGCAATGTAGGATGCTGACAAGTGCTTGCAGATTATGCCGCTCTTCAACACGATTCCACAGACTGTCAATGTAAACACCCCGGAAGAGTCGAGCATTGCCGCGTATCTCCGCGGTGCATGGGCTACATTTGCCAAGGACTCGTCCAAGGGACTTGGCACCTATGGCGGCGGCTGGCCACAATACAGCACGGAAGGTGACTCATTGGTCCGGCTGGCTTACAATAACATTACGGGCACAAATCTAATTGCTGGCAACTTTTATGATGCTGGCTGCCCAGAGTACCCCACTGTCTGAAGAGGCTAGATTAGCAAGCACTTATTCGTGGCCATAACGGTCGCAGTTGGAAATGGTGATGCTCGTTCTCGATTTACAATACACACACCAATTCTATGCGGTCTAACGTACACCATTCTCTGAATCGGTGATCCCTGCAGGTGAAGGTGCCATGATCATATCGTAAGGGTCGAGGCATGATTCCGATAACGCGTCTTCTTTACCTTTGGGCGGGCATATGTCGAAAAGGTACCGGAGAAGCCAAAAAGTTTAAAAATTGAGAGAAAAAGAATAAAAAAACGGGGAATCGCACCCGCTGGGAGTCGAACCCAGGTCTCTCGTTGTACGACTTGGTAGCTGAGTGTAATAACCGTTATACTACAGGCGCAACAGCTGTGAAGCAGAAACACTTTATATACCATCGATGATGCTTTCTGTCCCGGGAGAGCAGAGAACGACCTTTCTACATCTCCACGAACTTGCCAAGTGATGTACACACGACGCGATAACAAAAGTCATAATACAGAAAGCATAATGAATGTATCCAATTGTTGACCCAGGCTGCTGAGATTACTGCTGGTAAGCCAGAAAAGGAGTTTATAATCACCTCCGTCCAGGTCCGGCTGTTGATCTCCACACGGATTTATAATCCGGAACTATACGCCATTCTCCGCATCAATCGCGCCATCCGTGTTATACTACATATCAAACCGGAGCCTCCGATGTAAGAGGTACAATAAGTTTATAATGTCTGTCTCGTCGTCGATATCTGAGATTCATACTAGCAATTGAGGACACACATATAGCGATTACTACATTCTGAAGCAAAAATGTCAGAAACAAAAAAGAAGCAACTCCATCTCGGCGCCTTCATGCGTCCCGTAAGTCTACACACGGGAGCATGGCGATACCCGGGCGCACACCCCGACGCCAATTTTAACTTTGCGGACCTGGTCTCCTTTGCGCAAAAGCTCGAGGCCGCAAAGTTTGACGCCTTCTTCATGGCGGACCACCTGGCCGTGCTCAATATGCCCGACGCCGCGCTGCGGCGCAGCCACACAGTCACTTCCTTTGAGCCGTTTACGCTCCTCTCGGCCCTGGCCGCCCTGACCAAGCGTATCGGTCTCGTGGCCACGGCGTCTACTACGTACGACCAGCCCTACCACATTGCCCGGCGCTTCGCCAGCCTGGACCATATTTCGGGCGGCCGCGCCGGGTGGAATATCGTCACCACGGCCAACCCGGACTCGGCGCGCAACTTCGGCCTCGACGCCCACGTCGAGCACGGGGAGCGCTACGCCCGGGCCCGCGAGTTCTACGACGTGGTCACGGGTCTGTGGGACAGCTTCGCCGACGACGCGTTCGTGCGCGACGTGGACAGCGGCGTGTACGTCGACACGTCCCGCATGCACGTCCTCGACCACAAGGGCGCCGAGCTGTCGGTCCGGGGCCCCCTCAACATTGCCCGGCCGCCGCAGGGCTGGCCCGTCATTGTGCAGGCAGGCCAGTCGGAGCCCGGCCGGCAGCTGGCGGCCGAGACGGCCGAGGTGGTGTTCTGCGCGCCGCGGGATCTCGAGGCCGGGAAGGCGTTCTACGCCGACATCAAGGGGCGGACGCGCGCGGCGGGCCGGGACCCCGAGAGCATCAAGCTGCTGCCCGCGGCGTTTGTGGTGCTGGGTGACACGGCCGAGGAGGCGCAGGCCAAGCGGCTAAAGCTGGACAGCCTGGTCAGCTACGAGAGCTCCATCGCCTCGCTGTCGATTGCGCTGGGGACGGACGCTTCCCTATTTGGGCCGGATGCTCCCCTGCCAGCGGATATTCCCGAAACGAATGCTAGCAAGTCTGGTCGGGAGGGCGTGCTGAAGCTGGCGGCTGCCGAGGGCCTTACGGTGCGACAGCTTGCTCAGAGGTATGGTGGTTACTCTGGTCTTGCGTTTGTGGGCACAGCCGAATCTGTCGCTGACGAGATGGAGAGATGGCTGGTGGAGGAAGGGTCCGACGGATTCAACGTGGTGTTTCCCTACTTGCCCCAGGGACTTGATGATGTTGCTGAACGGTTGATTCCTGAACTACAGAAGAGAGAGATATTCAGGAAGGATTATGAAGGAGAGACGCTGCGGGATCACCTTGGATTGAAACGGCCGGCGAACAAGTTTTTTCCTGCTGCATAATGAATAATAATGAATAGACACTTTCTCTCATATCAGCATCAGACTGTTGCTTAGTGATTGTCTCTCTCCGACCACTGCTTGCAAGCATCGAGCAACTTCAAGTGCACATTCTCGCTGCCCTCCACATCACCGCTGATACTAATGAGCTTCTCGAACACATCGTCGCCTAGTCTCTTCCAGAACAACAAGAAGCCAACCCAGTAGAAATCAGCATACGTGACAGTCTTGCCATCAAAGAAAGGACCGTCCGGCTTCTCCTTGAGCAGGCGGGTAAGCTCAGCCATGTTCTTGACCGCGTTGTCCCACAGCGTTTGACCGCCTCGCTCCTCAGCAGTCAACTCTCCGAGTGGCTTGCCAACGATTTCGGAGCGGGTTCTGATCCAGTACTCGGCGCTGCGCGGGTTCAAAACGCGTGTCGGGACGCGGTCCAGGACAACACCGTACAGACTCTTGCCGAGGCTGTGGTTAAAGAGGGCCGAGATCTCTTTGATAACTTTTGGGATGTAAGGCGAGTCGAGGTGGATGCTGGGTTCCGGATGCTTCTCCTCAATGTATTGGGCAATGTCCTTGGAGTTCATAATGTACTTGCCATCCGGAAGCTTGATGGTGGGAATCGTGTACAACTCGACGCCCTCGGGCAGAGGGAAGCTATCATGGTCATTCATCTCTTCGACAGGATACTATTAACTGTACTAGTACTCACTGTTTCTCAAACTCGGGCCGGAGGTCGGGATACTCAATCTGTCCCGAATTAGTTTTTGCTTGGCTTCATAGTCTCAGCCAAAGGGAAACCCACCCATTCCGTCTTGTAATCAAGACCTTTGAATTCCAGGAGGAGACGAGCTATTCATTGTGTCAATTCAATTTCATTCGAGTAGAATCCGGGATCCATACTCTTCCAGGGATTCAACGACCAGGCTCGACAAGGTTCCTGGCTGGGCAGGTCATAGAGGATTATGGTTCCTTCAGTGGACATGTTGACAGGGGTCTTGGATCGAGCCGTAATTTTTCGCGGGTCAGTTAAAAATATCGTCAAGATGGTATGATTAAGCAGCGTTTAGGTTCATACGAGTGAGTGCTTGTAGAATGTTTTATACGAAAGTAAATGATGAGCAGCCACGTGTAAGCGCGGGCGCTGATTACACCGACACGAAGGGCGCATCGCTTGTGGTATTTGAGGTGGGGTATCATTCAGCTTATAAACCTAGTCCAAGAAGTCCGGACTCGATCGGAGCTGGGCAATTGGCAGCTGCGATCCACAACCTCAAGCCACTTGTAAACAAAAGGGCAGGAACTAATCGCGACTTCCTCGTATCGGATGGAAAGAGGTAAAATGATATAAAAATGAGTTCTCTCAATACGTGCTGAAGAGTGCAACAGCGTTTAGACCTTGGGGGAAGTATAGCCCGTAGATGATGTAATGTGGAGCCAGTATAAGATCAAATGCAAGATGCTTTTATTATGGGCATCCGACATTGCTTATCATACCCGCCTAGCGTCGGCTGCTGTGAGCTACACACACATCAGTCACGACGCCCAACTCTCCAAACTCTGCAATAACAGAGCAGAGTCGGATCTTGGTGTTTACATGCATCCTTCTAAGCTGCAGCAGAACATATTCGTAAGAATGATTCTGGGCTCTCATAAGAGTCTGTCTCATTGCCGAAAAGGTGAGGAGAGATATCGAAGACGACACCGCCCAATGCAAACATGTATATATTCTGCACTGCATTTGCCATGTCAAGTAAAACCGTTAAGAAGTAGTTTTCTGTTCCAGTCTTGCTTCGAATCAAGCCCATGCATCTGGCATAATCTCTAGGCTTCGTTTTCGAGAATTCGTAAACCGACCCCGCATAAATCTCCGTACTCCCCTCTACTCATACCAAAACTCACTATATATATTTATATATAATACGGTATATTAAAATAAAATAAATAATTTTAATATATTATAAATATATAATATATAATATTTATTATATAAAAAGTTTCTTGCAATTTACTTTATCTATATATATATATATATATATATATATGAGAATAGAAAATCTAAAAATTGCTAATGCGTAAAAAGTATCGTATTCTCCGCGAAATATGCAAAATGGAGGGCGTACGGACACTTCTGCGCGGTGATTGTAGTGTAAATTGCTTGCTGACAAAATCCCCAGTTCCACAATTGCAGCAGCCGGCTCAGAGGGGCATATCGTGGCTTATCTATTGGGCGAAGCCATCCGCCCATAGGCCTACATCCTGACCAAACCCAACAGCCAATCAGCGAGAACTGGTGCGAATGGGGTGGGGCCCCGGCGTCGCCTTTGCCTGCGATTCAAGCTCTAGGGCCAGCCGTTGAAGCTTCATCTTTCGCCCATTTCTACGATCTTCGAAAAGTCGCCCGTCTTTGCGCACCATCACAAGAAACCCTCCCACTTTTCACGCGTTGTCTTCACGCGCCCTTCGAAAAGACTTCTAAATCAGATTCACATTTTTGACCTCATCTCTCGTCCATCAGTAGTCCCCCCTACCTGCTTGCGTCTGCCGATCATCGCGACAGCCACCATGGCGCAAGCCGCCCCCGTCGACATTGCCAATGGCAATGGAATTGCGCTTGGCAGCGCTTCGCCCAAGAAGGTCGCCTACTTCTACGACTCGGACATTGGAAACTTCGCCTATGTTGCCGGCCACCCTATGAAGCCTCACAGAATACGTCTCGCCCACAGTTTGATCATGAACTATGGCGTCTACAAGAAGATGGAAATCTACCGAGCCAAGCCTGCAACCCGGCTCGAGATGACCCAGTTCCACACCGACGAATACATCGACTTCCTGCAAAAAGTCAGCCCCGAGAACATGGAGAGTTATCAGCGCGAGCAGTCAAAGTTCAACGTTGGTGATGATTGTCCCGTCTTCGATGGCCTTTTCGAGTTTTGTGGTATCAGCGCAGGAGGCAGCATGGAGGGCGCTGCCCGACTCAATCGCCAAAAGTGCGACATTGCTGTCAACTGGGCAGGAGGTCTGCATCACGCCAAAAAGAGCGAGGCTAGTGGTTTTTGCTACGTGAATGGTACGTACGAGTACAACGAGGCGACTCTTGTCGCATTCCCTGTCATCATGATGCTAACCATCCTGTACCAGACATCGTGCTGGGTATTCTCGAGCTTCTACGCTTCAACAAACGCGTCCTATACATCGACATTGACGTCCATCACGGCGATGGTGT